CAAGTTCATAATATATGAAGCCCTAACCCCCCCCCCCCCCCCCCCCCCCCGCCCCAGTGTGATTGTATCAGGAGGTGGCCCCTTTGAGAGGTGATTAGGTCATGAGGGTGGAGTGCCATGAATGGGATTAGTGCCCTTATGAAAGAGACCCCAGAGAGCTCCCTCACCCCTTGCAGCATGTGGGGACACAGGGAGTACACAGTCATCTGTGAACCAGGAAGAGGGCCCCCTCAGCAGACACTGAATCTGCCAGAACCTTGATCTAAATTCCAGCCCACAGAACTGTGAGAAATCAATTTCTGTTGTTTATAAAGCATCCAGCCTGTGGTGTTTTATTATAACAGCAGGAACAGAGTTAAGACACCAGTCATTGGATTTAGGGCTCACCGTAAATCCATGATGATCTCATTCTGGAGGTCCTTTATCACACCTGCAGAGACCCTTGTCCCAGATAAGTTCATGTTCAGAAGCACCAGGGCTTAGGACTCAGACATATCTTTGGGGGGCCACCGTTTGACCCGCTGCCCTTGGTGGCATCCCTGTGACCTGTAACACCGTGGTGTTGGGCTGCTCACCTTTCAGGCAGGGGCACAGTCAGCATCTAGGAGAGGTGGTCTGCCCACGCCCTTACACATGCGAGTCGGGGTGAGGAGGGGCCGAGCCTTGTCTGAGGAACGCACGTGTGGAGGTCTAGGCTGAGCAGAGCCCTGCACAGTGCAGCCGTGCCAGGGCGGTGTGGGTGTCTGTTCCCCTGCCATGTGGCCGGGCGCTTGCATCACCTGAGCCCCCGGGCTGACCCCGTGACATGACCCTCACTGTCCTGTGCGTCCCTGCAGAGGTCTAGACTCAGCAGCCGCTCTGTGCTTCCTGAAACACACGGAATGTGGTATCATCTGCCCCTGGGTCCTGTTCACTCCCCCCTGGGAGTGAACCCTCGCTGGGTTCAGGGTGAAGTGTTACAAATGATGCCTGAGCTAGCTAGAGGTTTGATGGATATACCCACTCAATGCGTGAATTCCACGGCACCACCTGAGAGAATTCATGTCCGCTATCTTTTCTGCATTTTGCCTTTTTCAGATCCACTTTCGTGGCAGCCTCTGTGTCCTTTCTCACCAGTCTTAGGTCTCCAGGATGAAGTCAAATGGAAACATTCTTCTATCAGGATCCCTGATGCTCCACATTTCTTATTTCTTCCCCTGTAGGTCAGTCCTGTGAGTGTGGCTTCTTTGTAGCAAGAGCTATCTGTCTTCCTGCCCTGCCCTGCCCTGAAACTGACTTAAGCACACCAAGGCTACAAGCTGTTGAGTGGATTTCATTTATGTACCTAATGAACCAGCTTCTCCACAGGACAGAACTCCTTTCACATTTTCAGTCTTTTACTTCTCAGAGTGACTGAATAAGAAAAAATTGGTGTACAGTATTTAAAGGATACAGACGTGTTTCAGGTTTGTGTGTGTGTGTGTTTTTCAAACCCAAACGGAATAGGCCTAAATTTTTTAAAACATGATTTCCCTGATTTAAAAAAAAATTTTTTTGTTCACTTAAAAAATAAATGAATGAATGAATGAATGATACAGAAGGAGTCAGGCAGTAATGTATCAGGACGTTCAAGTGATTCATTAGTGACTGTCACCTGATGTTTGATGTAATGGTGGTGACCATGGCTAACATCTGTTGGGGCCTTACCTTCCTGTGTGTGCTTTTACGTGCAGGCCCCTTTATAGGCATTCCTTCACAACTCCACCACCGGGAACATTAATCATTGCTGTGTGACAGTGGACAAAACTGAGCCACACGCAGTGGTTGAGAGTCCACCTGCCGATGCAGGGGATGCGGCATGGTAATTTTGATTGGATGTTGGACACTGACTTTTACATCCATCCGAGTGCTAGATTTTGCTGATTTAGTTTCTTGGCGTGGAGTTGAGGTCCACGTTTTCCTCTGAGCACATCATAGGACTGTTTCTCTGAAGGATCACAGTATCTGTTGCCTTTCTGAATGGGTTCAGGTATCGAAAAACGTGTCAGTCTTTTCTGTAGCAATTGAGAAACTAGGGACATCACCTTACGTACTTACTGAAACAGCCATGATTATCTGATTATTTAAAATACTATTTTAGATAAACCTTTGTGTGGATTTAGACATTACTGTTGTTGTAATCGGGTGTGTTGAAGGTGGAAAGTACTGTCATTTTTGTCACATTTCTGATAGCTGGCGGTCTCTTAATTGGCTCCAAGGATAATACATTAACCTACGTGTTTACCGGACTTAACCACCACTGTTGATAGGAACGTGGAAGCCTGTCTTTCACGTGGTGTGTTGTTGTTATTGTTGTTCAGCTGTGTTAAGCAGAGCCTTTTCACTGTCTGACCCCTTGGTAGGTGGTCCTACAGCTTTGCTTCAGCAGCGACCTTTCCCTTCAGCCTCTGATGGGGGCCGGTTCAGGGTCCAGCAGTGTGAGGAATGCTGAATTGCTTTCTGTACAATACAGAGTTTCCTCAGAAAACACCAAAAGCATAGTCCTTGTGTATTCATTGCTTTAAAACAAAACAAAACGAAGCCCTGTGTACTCAGTGCAGAGGCCCTTCCCTGGGTTGGCTCTGATAGGATTGGCGAACACAGCAGCAGCATCCACGTACCGTCACCTCTGTTACTTTGGGAGGTGCTAGTGCTGAGCCCTGAATCGCTCTCTGACGTTTGTGTTGTGTGGGGATGCCCCAGTGCTGACGACCCCTGTCAGGACAGTGTGAGCTCACACGATGCCTGGGCAGAGGCAGCAGAGCCAGGGCGGCAGAGCTGGCGCAGTGTCCCTGGAGGCCTGTGGCCGGTACCTCTGCTCCCCATCATCACTGACGCCCCCCCCCCCCCCCCCCCGCCAGGCCGGGACCACAGCACCACCAGGCTCCCCCCGCCCCCAGGTGTGGAGAAGCTGATCCACCACCTGCAGAAGCACGGCGTGCCCTGTGCGGTGGCCACCAGCTCAGGGACCGCATCCTTCCAGATGAAGACCAGCAGACACGAGGGCTTCTTCAGCTTGTTCCATCACGTCGTCCTCGGTGATGACCCCGAAGTGAGGAGTGGGAAGCCGGAGCCAGACATCTTCCTGGCGTGCGCCCGCAGGTTTTCTCCCGCCCCTCCCGTGGAGCAGGTACGTGGCAGCGGGCGTGCAGGTTACACCGTGCGCAGGCGCAGGGTCTCTGTGTCCACGTGGACAGCTGCTGCGCGGCACTCCCGAGGACTCAAGGAGAGGGCAGTGGGGTCGCCGGGTGGGAGGTGCGTGGGGAGATCCCTTCGTTTTGTGGCGGAGTGCAGCCACCCCAAGTCACCTGGCCAGTGAGTCCCGGCCAGAATCGTCTGGGGTGCCCGAATGTAAGGAAGCCTAGGCTTCGCAGAGCACTGCCTGACGGGCACTTTGCAGGGAAGGGGGGCCTTCAGTGATGCATGGCGACGGCGTCCTTATTTGTAACGAGCAGCCTTGGGCACACGTTCCCTGCAGTTCAGCAATTCAGACGTAAGTCAGCAACGCTCACCACCCCTCCCCGCAAATGCTTTTCGGTTTCTCCCCTGCCAGGGTGCCGCAGGCGGAGCTCTGTCCTGCCTCTGTGGGCTGCTTCCTTATGCCAGTCCGTGGTGGAGCTGGGGGGGTGGTGTCTGAGCCCAGGAAGAGTGCTGAGAGTGCGCGACGCGGCTTGTTCGCTTCTGCTGAGTCTCCGCGCGGCTCATGGGGGCTGGTGAGACGGAGGAGGGGGAAGAAGCCTCAGCCACCTGCAGAGGCAGATTCCAGAACACCTGGGGCTTCTCGAGAGTGGTTGCTGCTGGTGACCCACGTGTGTCCACAGCAGGCGGGGCGTCCCTCGGGGTGACGGTGCTCCCGCCTGGTCCCTGCATCCGAGGGTGCGGTGCTTCGTGGGGCATGGGTGCAGGGAAGAGCCTTTCCGTGAGAGATCTTCTCACCGTCTGCCTCTCACTAACGCAGCCTTTGCCACACTAGCGACAAGCGCAGGGAAGGTTACTCAAAAACCTGCCTCCCGATGTAGCTGACAGTGGCGAACGATGTTGAGTGATGTGTTTTTTGGGCCCGGGGCCTAACTTACTACACTAAACCTGTAAGGGCCGTCGAACTGTGTAACCCCTCGGGCTTTCTCTGATTCTCAGACGCCTGCTGGGCGTCCCACGATTCAACGCACTTCTGACGCTAAGGACCTGGAGTCAGCGCCGACCCCCGAGTTGGGGGCTCAGCCCCCGAGACTGCCCCTGCTGCGGATGCCAGCCTCCGACGAGGTACCCAGGCCCCTCGCGCTTCTCCCATCCGGCCACAGATGTGGGTTCCCACACAGCCCCCTTCCCGGTTGTTATAATTCACTAGAATGACTCACCGAACTTCAGAAGACGCGACTTGCGTTCACTGGTCTAGTTTAGGAGTACAGCTCAGGAGTAGCCCGGTGGAAGAGCTGCTTAGCCTAAGGTCTGGGTGCCAGGCTGCTGGTGCTTCCATGCCCTCTCTGGGCATGCCACCCTCCCAGCAGAAGCTCCAAGAACCTTAGGGCTTTCTGTGGAGGCTCCATTACCTGGCACTGCTGGTTAAACCACGGGCCTTTGTTGATTGCATCGCCTGGCCTGCAGGTTGGGGTGGGGTGCAAGCTGCAGCGCTCTAATCCTGCCTGGTCTTTCTGTCCACCAGCCCCCATCCCGAAGGCATATGGGGCCCAGGACTGTCACTCATTAGCATAAGCTGACATGTGCTTGAAAGGAGATTATTACGAATAACGAAAAATGTTCTAATTGCCCAGGAAATACCAAGGGTTTTAGGAGCTCTGTGCTGGAAACCAGGGGCAAAGGCCAAATATATATATGTTTTATTACGCGACAGCCAGAAGAATCATTGCATATCATTGAGGGATGGCGGCAGTGCATTCCTCGCAATACAAGTACGCGGACGGATTCAACTCAGCAGTTGCATGACCAGGGTGGAGGCTGCGATGGCCCAGCCACTAAGCCACAGAGTCACAGATGAGGCCTCAGGGCCGGTGGGACGGGTCCTGGCTGCAGTGTGGTTCTGCTTCTTACATCAGAACATCTTTGTGTCCACGTGTTTGCCATCCTACGACAGATTCCATACAAATGCGTTCTCCTTCCCTAAGAACTTCTTAAAGAATTTCCCATCCCTTCAGGTGATAAAGCCCTCCTCCTAGAATGGCCATCTTCTTTGTGTGGTGCAGGTAGAGTGAGGTGCCACCCTGAGCAGACTGGTTCCAGAGCAGCTCAGAGTAGGAGCGCCTGCTTGTAGCCGTCTTCACAGCTGAGAAGATGAGATGCTGACCCGTCGTGTCCTCCTTCGTTTGGCTGTTCAGGGAGGAGGGTGCTGCCTTTCTTTCTACTCCAGGCAGTCCTTTCTTTGCCGGGCACCCTATTCATGGAAACATGGCGTTGCCAGGTTTTCAAGTGTGTGTGCGAACCAAGTTTATGGGGAGACCACACGCCGGCTTTGCGTGAGGCCAGTTGCAATGCAGCTGCGGGAGAGGAGGGCACGGCTGTGCGGCTCCGGTCTATACGGGCGGGAGTTCCCCTTGGTGAGGTGCCGAGGCGCCGAGGCAGAGCTCGGGCATCCCTGTTGCCCACGGTGACAGTGTTCTAGGCACATCAAAGGAAAATAAGCAAGTGCGTATCTGAGGAGTAGTCTCGCTCCTAGAAGTGCTCTCCACCAGTTACCCTTGTTAGTCACCCACACTTATTGATGCAGCTATTTGTCTTGCAGAAATGAAACCTGTCTTGTCCTGTTTCCTAGGCAGATACAGTTAAGGTGTTTGGGTTTCAACCTCAGATGTGCCTATTGTAGGAGGAAAGGACAGTGTTGATCGGCTCCAGGTTGTGGAGGCCCACCGCCCGTTTTGTACTTGCTTTGTCTTCCAAATTCAGGAAGCAGTTGCAGAGAGGCTCATGGAGGCATGACACTGCTCTTAGGTCGTGTCCTGCTTCTTCCTCATTGACGCAGTGCAGGCGCCAGCACATAGGGGTGACGAGCCTCGGAGTTGAAGGGCATTTCATGCAGTTATCAAGTCCCTAGAGAGAGTCACGGTTGCCGTCGGGGATTTATGATGCTGTGCGTGTCACCAAATTAATCTGGTACAGTAGTACTAATAGGACTGTAGTAAAGCACAAGTAGCTTAAAGGGGGGAATTTATGTTGTCACGTTAGTCACCGTTTTACTAGGAGAAAATGCCTAACAGAGCTGGCATTCAGCAAGTGTTCATTGCAAATGTCCTAAGTTATTTATGTATCATTCTTTTGTGCTTAAGATATGCAAAAATACGGTGCCATCTTCAAGTCACTTTAACCCATCTTCATGCTCAGGCGTACTCACTGAGTACTTGCTGTATGTCAAGGGGGAACCTTCTGGAGGCTTGCAGACAGGAGCGACGGTGTTCAGAGTCCGGGGCAGGTTGAGGGAACAAGCCAGGAGTCACCCCAGCCCCCCTGGGTGTGTGTGCTTTGCCACTTCAGTGCCTCGCCGCAATAATGCACGTCTTTGTTGCAAAATAAAAATGCCATCATTTACACAGGATTTCTTGTGTTGATATTTACTACTACATTACAAGTAAAACCTGAAATCAGTTTTTAAAAGCATGGCAGTCACTACTTTGGATACATATTTTTCTTGTTAATGTTCACAGCTGAATTTCAGGGTTTTTTTAATGAACAATTATTTCTTTTTTTAAAGAATCATAGTTATTTAATTAATTAATTTATTTTGGCTGCCCCGGTCTTAGTTGCAGCACGTGGGATCTTTAAGGTGCGGCGTGCAGGCTCTTAGCTGCGGTACACGGACTTCTTAGTTGCAGCTTGTGAACTCTTAGTTGTGGCACGCATGCGGGATCTAGTTCCCCCGACCAGGGATCGAACCCGGAACCCGCTGCATTGGGAACGCGGAGTCGTACTCACTGGACGACCAGGGAAGTCCCCAGAGTTTTCTTTTGAATTACTTTTTTGTTTTGTTTTGAAGAAAGTCTCACACATTAAGCCTTTATATACCTAGAGAGTTAAAAAATGGCAAATGTATTTTAACTTGAGGTCTGATTAACTGTACAATGTCTTCATATAACACTCGGACCATTTCTTCAATTACAGAAGTCATCACCTGAGTTGACTTTTCAGTATGTGAAATGGCAATTGATATATTTTACATAATCTCTTGACAAAGAAGCACGTTAACTTAAAAATCATTCTGTGTCTCCTTTTATTGCGTATTGTCTGTGTGGCCAGAGTCTGCAGACAGGTGCAGGCTGCCAGGTGTTGCTGCTGAAAGAGCTGCTTCACCTCCCAGAATAATGGGGATCAGGTGGGTGCGGTGCTTCTGGCAGGTTGGCAGTTAACAGGACCCCCCTGGCGGCGCAGTGGTTGAGAATCTGCCTGCCAGTGCAGGGGACGCGGGTTCCAGCCCTGGTCCGGGAAGAGCCCACATGCCGCGGAGCAGCTAAGCCCGTGCGCCACAACTACTGAGCCTGCGCTCTAGAGCCCACGAGCCACAACTGCTGAGCCCCCAAGCCACAGCTACTGAAGCCCGCGTGCCTAGAGCCCGTGCTCCGCAACAAGAGAAGCCCCCGCACTGAGAAGCCCACACAGTGCAACGAAGTGTAGCCCCCGCTCACCACAACTAGAGAAAGCCCGCACGCAGCAACGAAGACCCAAAGCAGCCAAACAAACAAACAAATAAATAAATACATAAAATTAAAAAAAAAGAAAAGAAAAGAAAGTTAAAACTTGGCGGCCAGGTGAGATGAGCTGCACTTCTGTCTTTGGGGGATTGCATGCTCTTCAGTCAGTGTCTTACTTCTAAACACCCCGTTAGGGGCATAGTGGTGCTCGAGTTTCTCCTGGCAGTGTGGAGAGTCACCGGGCCATAGTCAGCCACCTTTGGGGCCTCAGGGAGACTGCACATCCCTGGCCATTGCTGCCCAGGCCTCATGCCCATCTTCTCCTGTCACCCAGAACCACTGAGGAAAATATGGAGGCCTCTGGTCACTGGTCTTGGTATTATTTCATGTCTCTTGCAACCTGATGTACCAGGCCCTCCCTTATTTCATTAAAAAAAAAAAGATCTCAACTATTCCTTTCATAACTCCTCCCATTACACATCTTTTCTTTCATCCA